TATTTTCGATACAAGCCTGCAGAATGAGTGGCTCTGAAAACATTCAAAAGGAATGGCTGTGATTGAAATGTGGAAATTTGATCTGTACAACATACGCAATGATCGCCGAATAGGATAACCGATGCAGCCACAGTTATGCACAAGACGTCCAATCCAGTAACAGCAGAACACCTAGTGTTAAGGAGAGTTTAGAGCAATTAAAAACAATTAAAAACAATTAAAAGCATGTTCAATGTTACATGTTCCTAACTTGTCTGCGTAGCGAATGCCTGAGATGACTGTGACATCGCCAGTCCCGTTCGTCTTTGTAATAGAGGGGGCCCCGTCCTCAACAGGGGCCTTCGCCAGTCAACAAAAGCGCTCGTTCTATTAGTTGAACAACAAACATATTAATACCAATATATTATTTTGTTTGTATATTAACGGTTTCTTGCATTTTAACGGTTGTTTCCGCGTCACGAGTCCGCGCAGGTTCCGCAGCGAGATGTCTTCAATCTTTTACAATGTTGCAACTCGAAATGCCTTTTGCGTAGAATGCAGTGAAACCTAAGTTTCGGCAAGCCTCCGTGACGCCACGAAAGTGTCGTTCAGGTGACCTCGAACACTTGAAAATTGTGAATTCTAAATGTTATGCGGCACGGTAATCCGAGAGGAACTACTTCATGATGCGAGCCTTTACACTGCACGCAAGGGGACAGTTGCCACTGCAGCTCGGCAGCTCGGGGGTCTTTTCTTTGTCTCTGACATCCCCTGAAGCCCCCAGATGGCCTGGGCCCAGAAGCTCAGGGGTCCGGGGGCGCGGGAGACGTTGCGGCCTGGTACGATTTGCAACCCAAATTGTTGCAGCTAGTGTTGCATGGAAACCCCGTATGCAAGCACAACCAAGCCTCCTTTACTGCATGCACTAACACTGTTGACGAATATTAAACGCATACCTGGCCCCCTAGCCAGCGATAGGGGGTTCGTCCGAAATGTTCAAAACTGTGGCATTTCCTCCCCGTATGATTTACTTTCCACGCAGTCCAATGTGCAGGTTGGACGGTGCGGCGAAGAAAAGGAACAGGAGGGAGTTCCGTCGTGCCGTCTACACCAAGCTTATATTGACGTTTGTATAGATGCAGTGTAAAAATGCATATTCCCTATACGTTCAAACTACATATATACAAAGCAGTATTCATAAATATTTAGGACCCTATATTGCAACAAGAAGTTTAGTTAAGTCCATTTCAGAGCTCGAAAATATGAAGGCAAGACACGCCCTACTTCACGCTTGAAGTTGAGCAAATCCCACAGGCCTTCACTCCTGAACACGGAAAGCAGAAGCTTGCCAGATGCCTAATGCCGGCTTCATAGACAGCAAATTACTTTGCTTCTATGTAGAAGGGGTCACCCAAGAACTCCACTCGGGCAGATACGTTCCACTCCTTACAGCCAAGGGTTTCGAGCCATCTTATACCTGTGCCCTGGGGAGGATGCATATATAATATGCAACGAAAATGCTTTGGATGCTTCACAAGCAAACCAAATCTCCCAGTATATTCTCACTCGAGGTTCTTTCGCAGTCCTCGCTGTCAGCGGCTCCTGTAGGCACGCCACCACAAGAGCGGCGCCGCAGTCCCAATGAAAAGTTCCAACTGCAAGAAGCACCCCTCCTCTATTGTTTCGTGTTCGAAGGAGATTAACTCGGGCCCTCTGTAGAAGCAATTGTTCTTCGCTCCAGTCGACTTCATGCATGTGTACAGTATGTAAATACGCAGGGTGCTCTTTCCTTTTCTGTGCTACAGGGTCCCCCGCTGTGTCGTGAGGCGATTCNTATGTAAATACGCAGGGTGCTCTTTCCTTTTCTGTGCTACAGGGTCCCCCGCTGTGTCGTGAGGCGATTCCTAGAACGTAGCAGTCATCTGCATTCAGAAGTAGACAGATGGATGTTTCCTTCCCTTTGCTGTCACCATAGAATGCTGGGCATTGCAGCTCTCCACACACACAACTATCCCTCAATGAGTCCCACGCACAATGCATGCCCTCAGCAGTCTTGCAGCTGCTGCCGCTTTCACGTATTTCGGTTCGCCTCGAGCCCCCCATCCCACCCTGGGACTGGCAAGGCCACGTAAAGAGATAACGCACATGTGCGTTAAACAAGACGCATTTCTTCTTGCTCTTTTTGTCTACGCAGCTCACGAACCCGAGAGGCATCTACGACCGGCAACGACCCTACAGACAGCCGCGTGTCTCTGGGGCCCAGTTCGACCTCACGTCCCACCGTTACAGCTCGCACAGCCCCCAAGATAGTTGGCAACTCATGAGCGTCAAGCTCCTCCGTCTGTCTGCGAAGTATCCAGGAAGGCAAGGAATACTGCCGCGCCTGAGGAACTGCCCGCTCCTTGAGGTTGCAGGAGAAGCGCCCACAGCAAGTGAACGCCAAAACAAGGAGCGAAACAATAAGTAAAACAAACACCACATATTCCCACAGCGGAACGTTATCTATGGACCAGCCCGAACCCGTCAGCTCCAGAGGAACCGAGACGCGAGAGATAGGGGGATATGCAAGAGCGCCACCATTGCGTTGCAGGAGCTTGTCTGCTGCTACTGGAACGCTTTCATATCCAGCATATGTTGCTGTCTTCTGCATTCGGATCTTCTTCTTCGAGCGGCGCGTCGTATGGTATATTACTTCTCCCGTGCTCGCTTCAATGAACGACAGCCTCATCTCCTCGGCAGCCACATTGGCGACAGCAAAGCCACTCGTCGTGCGTTGAAATGAACAATTTGAACTGCGGCACAGTTCCTGGCCTTCTTTACACTTGTGCACCGAACTCGGAGTGCAACAAGTAGGAAACTCGCGGTGCANCACAGTTCCTGGCCTTCTTTACACTTGTGCACCGAACTCGGAGTGCAACAAGTAGGAAACTCGCGGTGCAACTTCGACCCCGACCCACTAATAACTTGGGCAATGGTCCCACCCTCACCATCTGGCCCGGCAAGCTGCAGCCCAAAGGCAAACAAACGAGCACAGTAGCTGCGGCATGTGCTGATCTTGTTGGCATCCTTCGGGCATACGACAAACAGGGCTGCATGACGATACACACGGAACTTCAGCCAACTATCTTTATCATGCAGAAGTAATGAAATCCAGTTCATGTTCCTCTTACCTCGAAATACGATAACAAGTGTTCATGCCCAGCGAAGACCGCGTCGACAAAATACCGTAGATACAAAGGCAAAAGCAAGTCCTGAAACGACTTAATATTTCTACAGAGAGTTCCGTCAGTGAACAGTGGGTGGTGTTGATGAACAAATATCCAATCGGCTTCAGCGGCGGCTGCAACGGCAACATCAAAATAAAAACAACAACAACCTTGCGTAAGACGCCCTGCTCAAGGGGTAATGCACGCAAGCGACACCCCTTCAAACCAAAAAGAAGGCTACATATGGATGTTCAGTGTTGCAAAAGGCAGTAATATTATTTATATCTATCAAAATATGTGATGCACACATTTTCTAAGATAACCAGGTATACGCGAGCGTCGCACCTGACCGTAAGACAGCCTCTAGAAAGGCCAGTTGTTCGCGAACAATCCCGTGTGAAGACAACAGGATGTTCGAATCCAAGTGAATATTTACAACAGTCACAGAACTCCCGCGAACATTAGCTCCCCCTTCGGCGCCTGTAGCTATCGGCTGCCACTGCGAGTTTCAGCAAGCACATGCAACGCATAACACCAAAAGATAATCTACACCCATCGCCTGTGCCGGCTCTGCAGCAAAATGTTGCGTTGCTTTAAACAAAGTTGTTGGGATGCGGTGCCAGAAAAAT